CGAAATAATAAGCTGAGAGATGAAAATATGAACAATTTCTAATAGCTAACCTCTCGAAATGAATGATAAATTAAATACTCATGTGTTCTTGATGAAGAAATGGAGAAGGTGAATGAAGAAGATGAAGTTCTTGGAAGAAAATATGTGTTNTGAAGTTCTTGGAAGAAAATATGTGTTAATGGATGATGATTTAGGACTTAGGGTTTGTTTATGTTAGGTTTTGAATTTCTTTTATTTATTTGTTCTTTGAAGAAAATACATTTTAATCAATATAATATACATGTATACAATGAATAAAATAATCAAAATTTAATCATCAAATCAAACTACTAATAGCATTCCAATCAAGTATTAATTGTTCTTACAAAAGTGACCCAATGGTAATTTGGACCTTCCACAACAAAAAAATGACATTTTTGAGCAAATTTAGTGCACATCCAAATTTTTTATATATTTTCAAATTTATTGACATATAGAGTATCTATAAATTTAGAGAATAAAATTTTTTAAGTACTACAATAGACTCTTTATATTTAACATTTAATTTTACTACTCTAAAAAAATATCTATTGTTTTTTTCTATCTTTTATTTTCATTAGTTTTCTCTAAATTATTATATCATTCTTTTGGATGAAAATTGAAATATTTTGAATACATTTAATTATAGAGAATGAATTTTACTCTTCAAATTTAAAGAGCGGACATCTTCAAGCATGTTTGAAGCTTAAGATTCTATCTATATACTAGAAAAATCAAACAAAGGAAATTAGGATAGGGCCTTCTTCGCATCGAGAATTTAGAATGACTTATTGTAGCTCTTCAACTCTTCAATCCATCAATCCATTCTTTAAATATAAGATGTTCTATATTTTAAAGAGATAACTTTTAAAATTATGTTTCAAAAGATTTTTTAAATTAACATTTTAATTTAAAAAGCATTTCGATTTTCAATGGAAGAAAATAGTATAATAATTTAGAGGAAAGCTAATGAAAAAAAAAATAGAAAAAATAATAAATATTTTTTTAGAGTTTGTTGGAGTTTTTATAAATTTTTGCTCTTTAAATTTAAAAATACTTTCTAAATTATAGAATATACTCTTTAAAAATAAAGAGTTTATTGGTGTATGATTTTAAGGATCGATTCTTATACTTAAATAGACTCTTGGAATGCTGTAAAATTAGAATAGTAGAAATACCATAATATTCGTAAATAATAATAACTGGAAAAGCAGTCAAACATTCGTCTAATATTGATTTTCAACCTCTTAATTTAGTCCTTAACCTTTAAAAGCAAGCTAATTGCTTTATAATCTTTTTTTAAAATTGCACGATCAGTCTCCAAGATCCAAGAAGAAGCCATCGAAAATTCTTTTTTCCTTTTTATTCCAAAACAAAAATTTTAGATTGCAGCACTAGAATAATCATTTTCCGTTAGTCGAGGAGAGTAGCAGAGATGCAAAAGCACGCAGAATGAGAACATCTAAAATTTTGCTTTCCGACTCTTACTCATAACTAAAAATTTGAAATGAAGCATGTTTTCATTAGAATTAGAATGACATGAACATTTAACGAAGATTAAAATGGTTTTCATAATCAATGTGGAATTGATTATGTAATTATAATAAAATATTGAAGACCTCTTATTCGTGAAATTGGGGGACTAAAAGTGCAATTTTCCCTTATAATTTTTTTCCCCTAAAAAAATATAAATAAAACCTAGCTTCAGCCCCTATTTGACCCACATTATTTTTTTTCATTTTCATTCTTCTACTTATTTTAAACCACACATTTTTCAATAAAATAATATTTTCCATCGTATCAATAACTTTTCCTTTATTTTCAACCACATATTTTCCATCACATCACTTTAAAAAGAGTAATGCTACTTGCAGTGGTTCACTGCGACAGTCGTTCTATATGGCACACACATAACATGTAGTTATTTGATACACTAATGTGTTAGTTTTTTACCACATTTAATGCATCAAATACACACTTGACATGTGTATATTACATAAGGCGACTGATGCATTGAGCGACTGCAAGTAGTATTATTCCTTTAAAAAAATCCATTCTCTCATTTTTAACGTGCACCAAACATGCTCTGAATGCGTGAACAGCGTACGTGGACCTTGGGTACCAATGATTTGTGAACACGTGTACAATATACGCGTTTTGTCCAATTACAATGTACGTGGTTACATCAGTATTTTGTATAAATACCATCAAAATAGTTTCTCAAACAATAAAAAGGAAAAAATAAATAATAAAGAGATCGGTGGTACATTGCTTCGCCGGAGCTAGATCGCCTTAAATATTTCCGGCTTCTTTTGTTCAGAACTTACCGGTACCCGATCTCCCCGTAATAATGGTGAAATTCTGATCTTTTCTTATCTTCGACATTTGATTGGTATTTTTGTTGTTTGAAATTGTCGGTTTGATTTATTTGTGGTACATTTTGTGTGCATTTAATGGAATTTTTATTTTTTTGTTTGGGAGGTTAGGGAATTGTTAATGAGCGATTGATCTGATTTTGTGATCAATTATGTCTTTTTCCTATTTTTTTAGTACTTGTAATTATTGATTTTCTAGCTAAATCTCGTTAAAAAATTGATGCGAGGTTGCAAATTCATTTGAGCCGCTGTTTGTAGGAAAAATGAAAACGGCTATGACCAGAGGAACGGTGGTAGTTATTTAAGAAATTAATAATTAGGAGATTGGTATCGAATTTGGAAAAAATATTGCATGCCAAACGGTATTATAATCAGTATAGGGCTTTTATCTTTTCAAATTTAATTTGGGATCTCGATGATCTGATTTATCATTTGACAAAAAAAAGGTTATTCTTTTAAACTAAAGGATAATTTTCAGCATTTTCTGCAGAATAATGCTGTGATTGCATGTGTTGATCTGCAGTGATGATCTTTATTTGTTAGTTCATTGAACGATGAGAAGAATTTAATAATTATATGCTGGTAATTTAGCTACTCAAAATGAGAACAAAAAAATTGGGTTAAAATTTGAACTCTTTAGAGTTTCACTTAGGTGAATTATGATGGATTAAAGGAAAGAAAAAAAAAGAAAAAATAGTGCTCAAGTCTACTTAGGCGTTGAAGTCTGGGTTCATGCAGCCAATTTTGCTCTATCTTTACTTAGATCGACTTATATCAGCACATATGTAAGCACGTAAAAACCTTTTGTCAATCCTTTCCAGCTTTGAATTGAAGTAGTCTTGAACAGATTCTAAACATTTTCTACAAGAGACTCGGTGGAACCCTTTGTTTCATTTAGGGACTCAATTTTCTAAAGGTCATAGTTGTGCAACTGTCAGTCTGTCACCTGTTATTTATTATCAAAATTTGGAGTGCATCGTTATTCTTTAGCATGTCAAATGCAATACTTTGGGTAACTCATATAACATCTCTGCTATTTATTCCCTCTTCAGACAACTTCAAGAAGACTTGCTGACAGGAAGGTGGTGAAGTTTGAGAAGAACATTACCAAGCGCGGGGCTGTACAAGAGACTAGCACGAAGAAGGGAAACAATTATCCTGTTGGCCCTGTCTTGATTGGATTCTTTGTCTTTGTTGTCATTGGATCATGTAAGAAATTCTTACTTTTATTTACAAGCTCCAACTCCACTTTTTATATACGAATTGTTGTCTTAATTCAATGCTATTGCCTCTTTGTTGAATAATGCTGCAGATAATATTCTCTTAGAAAGAAGGTCGATTTCATGAACATGAATGTATCTATCAATTGTATAGGCAATTTCCAAGAAGCATTCTAATTAACTTATGACCAGTTTTGTAGTCAGATTGGTATTGTAAGATACTGGTGCAAATAGATTAATTTAATTGCAGGCATTGAACTTCTCCGTTGTGTTTGTAGGTGTAATGTTGAATCATGAAATTTTTCCTTCTTTCAACATGCATTTACTTTCCTTATTATGTTTTCTGCATATATATATAGTTTTGTGGAATTGTCCTTGTGTGCAGTGCTTTTAAGTAAATCGAATTTTCTCCCATTATCTTCTTACCCCATTTGTAATGAGAGTCGAATTTCTAATCTCTCTTTTTTCCTTCATCTACCAGCGCTTTTCCAGATTATCAGGACAGCAACCAGTGGAGGCATGGCTTAATCATCTTTTGGTATAGGCATCGTTAGGCTGTTTTAATTTGTTCTTCCGAGCATTATTAGCCCCAACGTAGTAATACATAGTACCTCTACTAGTTAACTATGTTTTGAGGAACTTCGAAAGCCTTAATAAAAATTCTCCTTTCTTGTCTGAAGTACATTTGTTTTCCGTCTTTGTTATTTATGTTTGTGTTGCTACATCATAGCGAGGTATAGCAATTTAATTTTAATGCACCGTGTTGTATTTTTAGCTTATCCCATTTTACATCGTGGGACATGGTGACACTTACTCGTCTTTCCAAACAGGTGCAAAATAGGATATGACAATACAAGAATTAGATAGGATATTTATAATAATTAAGATTCATATGGCGTCTTCGTATATTATGGAAGACTGAAGAATTATTTTCTGCTTGGGAAATACGACTGATAAAGAATCCTTCAGAGAAAATTATACAAACATTATTTGCATTGAGCTCCCATTTTGATTACACACCAGATAACTGAACCACTGCATTAGAACAGTTCAAATGTATATTATGTTTATACTGGATTCAAACATAATTTAACCGAAAAAGTTCATTAGAAGGAAAAAAAAAAGGCTGCAGGTGGTAACAGCAAATGCATGAAGCCAATCTAGGATCAAATCCATTCAAGAATGAATTATAATCCCATCAAGTCCTAATTTATTCAGATAGATAGCGGAGCTTTCGGAGTATATCAATTGACAGTACCAACTGAGGCTTCCAAGCCAACTTGATGAGCTTGCGAAAGGATGAATGAGACCACAAGAAGGTTTGAAACCCTACCCACAGCCCTTGCTGAAAGGGAACTGAACCGTATTATACCAAGCCCCCACAAAATCAAGCTACAGCAGTCAAGCAAGGGTGAAAAGCAGTGCCACATGCAATCCATTGCCTCTTTATTCTACGTGGCAGCACGCAACCGGGTACCTTAATCCATTCCCGACTTGATAAATCGTAAGTCACCAACCGATTTACCTGTCGTGATCTCAGGGATAGCATTAGTAAACCCTTATTACCTAAGCAAGTCATATGAACCTGCTTTCCGTAAAACTCCAAGCACCACAAATTTGGCATTCTGTCAACCTCCTTCCACAAAAGCGTCATCTTTTGCAGCTCCCACATGCAGACGCACGTGGCAGCATTCTTTGTCAGCAGCCCCACGAGCATGATCTTTCCTCCATATTCTGCTAATGCATGATCACTCAAATGTGGTGGGGGCGGGATTATGAACTGTTTCCAAACCCCCGTGACCATGTTATAGGACACGATCCCATCAGGGAGTGAACGCAAGAAGTAAAGAGTTCTGTTAATAGATACTGCCTGAGACCTGAAGTTGAGTGCCAGTGGGAGCTTGATATTCGGGGGCATGTTACCTGGATGGGTCCAGGTGTTCTTTGTGGAGTCGTAGACTTCATACTCCCCATCACAACCGACCCAAATGATCTTATATCCCTCGTTGGTAGATTTTCCATTTAGAGTCATCCCAACTGCCACACGGAACCACACCTTAACTGACCGAGCCGGTAACTCTTTGAAGGACCTCGTAAGAGGGTTGCACACATAGAAGCTTCTATGTCCAATGTCAAGAAAACAGACGAGACCCCCTGCTGATGCCACCGGCAAAACAATCGATTTTGTTGGCAAGGCAGGAATAGCCAGGTGGTGCCATTTTTTCAGTGATGGATCATACATGGCTCCAGTATTAATAAGTTCATGAGTGATAGTATAAAACCAAGTTTGGGTTTGATTCACTTGAGCACATTGTTGGGAGAAACTTTGGGAAGTTGGCAAAGAATTCCACTTTCGGCAAACAGAACGAAAGCGGAAAAAAGTGGCCACTGGAACTCTTGCTATCACGGATTCGAAAAGGTCTTCAGGAAATTCTTTCCAGATTAGCTGTTCCATAGTTTCGGTTGAGCTTGTAGTTGCAGTCGCCTTTACCTTATTACTCTCCTTACGAGCTTTCTTTCTGGGTGGAGGTTTGCCTGGTTCCAACATTTTGAGATTTTCAGACTTACCAGCAGTCATTATGAGATTATAGCAACCACCTTCAACAGAGCTATTTTCAAGATCGAGAAAACACCATCTGCAAATCAATAAAGGTTCATCAGATTCTCTGAAATTACAAAACGGCAGGAGCCGTTAGGTGGAATTGTAAATTTAATTAAATAAACCACATCACAAAGCAAAACAGCATAAAAGTCAGTTAACAGTTCGAAGAAGTTTTAAACACTATACCCATTTTATGCCATTAAACATGAATAATATCCCAATGCAAGATGATAAAAACAGGAAAAATAACTACGATTTTGAAGTTGTTAGATATTAGAAACAAATTAGGGGTGAGAGAGACTACTCAAAATAACTAGCATCAAGTATAAAATGAAATTTTTTGGTGCGCAGAAGCAAGAAATCACAGCAAGGATAGGACTGAACCAAACCCTTAGAGATACAAACTGAAGCCTTTTCATTTTGTTAAGAGCATATCCCCAACAATATCCAGCTTTTCAATAAACTGCCTTCCGAAAAATTGGCAATTGAAATTGGTAGTATACATTATTACATAGAATTACCTTACAAAATAAATATTAACTCACTGTTTTGATAACTAAAACACGCACTAACTCAAGCAGCACAGATAAAGTGCTTCATAAACATTCATTTTTATCCTACATAACTATCCATCTCTCTCCACCCTTTGACCCTTTGTAGTCTTCTAATACCCTGTGACATTTGAAAAGCTATAAGAAATTTGGTGTGCTTGAATGGTCAAAGAGGAAAAGAAATCTCACAACTAAGGCATCTACCCTGAAATAGACATATACAGTACTGTCTCAAATTTCTTAGCGCAGTAAGAATTAAGAGCACATTTGGCTAAGCTTAAAATAATAGAAGTTTAACTTTTTGTTTCCAAACATTTTTTTATTTTAATTTTACTTCTAAGTAAAGAATTACTTATTTTGAAAGCAACTCTTGTCTTAATGTCAAACTAACTAACTAACTTCAACTTTGATCAATATAAAAAATGATTTTAAATATTACTTATATGTAAATAAGTAATCTTTAAGATCAAGCATACTAAATATCCTAGAGAGACTCTAGCTAATGTAGTACTTCATAACTTCGTCTGAAATGAAATTTCAGCACAAGCGCGGAAAGGCATTTAAGGAATGCTCCATTTTACAGTAATGACTCCATTTCAGTAATGTAATTTGTCAAAAAGAACAATCGATTTGAGGAAAATATACATTGTTTGAAAGTATTTTCAAATGAAAAGTAAAACATTCAACTCTGGACAGAGAGGATAACTTTCTACTTCTTTATAGAAAAATAATGATTATGATAGCAAACTTCATTTTCATTATGAAGAAGTTTGACCTTGTTGCTCCTTTTGCTAACATGTCGGAAGTTATGAACCAAATTTCATTAATATGGACCAAGCATAACAAATAGTGTGCACTTAGTATTCTTAAAGGAACACAGAACCGGCATACTAAAATCAATCCATGCTTAATTTGAGATGGAGAAGCTTATTAAATCCCATCTCCAAATGCAGTGACAGGGGAAGTGAGTAACTGACTCTGAAATATCTTTAGCAACCAAGTGAGCTGCTTGGACTCGCAATAAACAATGGTCTTGTACCATCATACACCAAACTTCAGTGCAACCACAACAAAATCAGTACAATTGTTTACCGCAGGTACATCCGGAACTAGTCGTGCCATTTCATAATCTATTGGATGCACTAACAGATGTGAGAGAAAGGAAAGGAGATTGAAGATGTGAGTTCTCAGAATAAAAAGTGCACAAATGAGTTGAAAATTGTTGTCAGAAATACGACTTGACAATCAAAAATAGTAAAAGCAGAAATTAAAGTAGAAAAAGAATGAAGCAAGGCATGCAGTTGAAAACCTCCTCCTGCACTGGTGGTAAGAGGAGAATTGGAGGTTTGCCTGATACAATGCTTCTTCCAATAGTTAATATAGCAATATACCAACCTTGTCATTCGTAGGGTCCTATTTATAGAATTCCCCCGTCTCTTCTAAATTGCTACAACTTTTAACATAGATCAATCTAGATTGTTCAAAGCCCTAATGTTGAGCACGACCCAAGCCCAGGCCGGCCCACCAGATCAACGAGCCAAAGGCTGGCCAGCCTGAAGGTGATGAGATTTGTCCCATCTTATCTTTAGAAGCCTTTTGCTTTTGGGATTCAAAAAGAATGTTGAAAGCTAAAACTTCTGATTCCCAATCAAGATGACTTCTCTTTAAAATTTGAAGTTCCATCTTTCAAATCTCTAACTTCTCCTCGAAGATCTTGTAGGGAAGTAGTGGTAGTCTTATTTTCAAATCTAGAGAAAACATTTGTCCCATCACCTTCAAGCATTAATTTTTTCAGAATGTTAATATGAATGTTCTGAATTTTTTCTTCAGAATGTTTATATTTTAGAGAGTACAATTTTTTTCTATAAATATTTAGATTTTACCTCCATGTCCAATTCTTGTTCAACAATTTCATTCTTCAATTCTTATTCAACAATACTTTGCTCTATAAATATTCTTATTGACTATTAACATTCTGAAATATTTGGCTGTATAGATATTCTTATTCAGAATAATATATCAATCTCAAGTCCTAATGGAGTTAACTAATGATGAGCGTAACCAATTTTTGGTAGTTTGAGCACTCCATCAGGTAACGATTTCTCCGAAATTCTGGGTGCAAATATGAATCCTTCAATTAATTTAGACAATGTCAAAGTGGAGGAGGTTGAGGAGAAAGAATCGTTGGAAACTAAAAAAGCTAAAAAAAAGGAAACATTGGAGGTTTGACAATATATCACTATGGATTATGCATAAAAGGTTTATTGCATTTAGAACATCTAAAAAATATTATGCCAAATGTATAATCACTATGCTGTAAAAGAAGGTCAAAACAATTCTGCCCCCCATAGTCAAATTCAGAAAGATGGTGCTATGTATTCAAATGATTTACAGGATCCGTTAAATTCCACTGTAAATACTTCCTCATCTAGTTATGTTTCCTCCATGTCTACAAAGGTAGATAACCATAGCAGAAATCTTGAAATGCCTCTGAGTTATCTAAGTATTTCTGTGCAGACGTTCGTAGTGTTTTAGCACAAAAAAGGAATGAGATAATTTTGATCTTTTATCGTGGCGGATGTTTAACGAACGACAATATCCAAGTGTATCAAAGGTTACACGTAATCTACTAACATATCTAATGTCTATAGTAGCATCGGAGGCTGAGTTTAGTTCAAGTGACGGGATATTGTCAGAAGAACAATCAAGGCTACACGTAATTTTTATTCTTGTACAATTAAAATTTTTTAACTCATTTATTGTAGCCAGTCTCAAAAGAAGAAGGATTGTAACTTGTAATTTATAATTTGTAAGTTGTAACATTAAAAGAATTATTTTTTATATTTAAGTTAATTTCACGACTGTCACTGAAATGGAGAGTTTTCGCTAGGTGTGGTACATAATTTCTAGTTAGATGGATGAAATGGCGAGGTTTCGCAGGCAAATATCAAATTTTGTAGATGTTAGGCGAATTAGCAGGTCAAATCTCGAATTTACTGTGGAGCGTGTGAGACATTTAGTGCACACCTTTTGTTACCCCTGGAAAGACGATTAAATTTAGAGTTCAATGCAAAAATAGAGCGCAATTCGAAGTTGTGGATTAAAAATTATATGCATTAGAAGCTGGACAGTCAAGCAACCTCGAGATTAGCCCAACAAATTCGAGGTTTGCCAAGGAAACTAAATATTTTCATAGCAAACTCGAGATTTCGTTAATAACTCGTCAGATGTCTACAAAATTCGATATTTACCCCTTGAATTTTCTAATATTTTTGTTGCTACTCCATACGTTGTATTTGTTAATTATTGTAGTTAATTATCTTTTTAAGAACGTTTCATATTCTAAAAAAATGGCAGCTCGTGCAAGCCCGAGCCTCTAGCTTGGGCTCGATAGCCGGACCGGCCCGTTGCCACCACTACGTTTAGCCAACTTAATATGCCATTGTAATCTCCTCATGGAAAGGATTAATGCCACTGATTAGACATAGGACCCACATAAAAACTCCCTCAAAGTTGGCTATGAAATTCATTATTAAAACTATTTAATTCAAACATAAACTAGAATGGTGAATTTTTCTTAGAAGTAAAGTCCCAAGTCATACTGGCAATCCCTGAAATCCATTAAGTTTTCTTCTTTCATTTTCTATCCATCAGGAGAATTTAATTACGAGATGTGTATTTTCCATCCTAAAATATAATATGCTCCAATAACTATAATCCTGAAAGGTAAACTGGAGAGGATTTATTTTCCCGATGTGCTGTAGCCTGTAGCAAATACATGACCACCTGAATCTAACATCAAAATTAATCCACACCTGCAGAACCTCCATTCTGCAATGAAGCCACAACATAACATATAATTGTCTAATATCGGAACTTCCCGTGGCTAGTCAGAAAGCTTGATAATCTACCATGGCACAGAAATAAGTATAAAAATCGCCTATGAGTATTAACATCTGCACCATATGAAGTAACAAAAGTTATTGTTAAGGTTTCCAATTATCAGGGACAAGTGTAGGAACAAGACAGAACTAACTAAAAAGGCAAGAAAATAGTCAAAGAAACTAAATGCTCTTAGCTGCAAACTAACGAAATAGGCAAGAAAAGAAAATCTAAACAATCCGGTGTAGCATTGTTCTTGTAGGTAAACAAAATTTAAACCTTCAGCAGAGGAAAATTTCACATTGTGGTGAATTGATGATTTTTTAGCTGAATTGGTGTATACTAGAAAAGGGAATAAATCACATTCTTGCGCTTTTGAAGAAGAGATTTTAAGCTAATTTAGATTAGACCAGAAAAGCAAAAAGGAAAATAAGAACTCGTGCGATCCTTAGCATAGTAAAAAAAAATGCAGAATAAATAGATTGAAATCCACATTAAATTCCCTAATCCAACACAAGCACACACAACAAAAACTTTACTTACAAATCAAAATAGTTAATCTAAAATCAGATAGTACGAAAACATAGCTATTAATCTTAGCATTTCCACATCCACATCCAAATCCAACAAAACAATTCATCAAAATCGCGAAAAATCTAATAAATTAAACAAATAAAAAAAGCTGGAAGAGAAACTACAGACCTGAGATTGTGCTGAGGTTGAAACTGAAGTAAATAATTAGAAGGAACCGAAGGAGGAGAACCATAGAGTTCCAGAAGCTCTTGTAATTGTCCGATGAATTGCCTTAGAATGGAAGCTCCTTCCATCATTCCATTGCTATATTCCTCCACCACTCTCCCTTCCTAACCCCACCCCACCTCACCTTACCTTACTATCTCCTCTCTATATATCTATATGTTGTATATATCTGCGTAGATGAGCGAGTGCCTTGTTCTCTTATTTTACCGAGTTTTGTTTTTACACGTCACCTGGCCCATACTAGTATTGACCAGGTAAAACACTCTTTTCCTAAACTACCCCTACCTAATTTTACAATTTATTTCCGAAAATAGAAAATAAAAAAAATCATAGAAATGGGAAATGGGTGAATATATTGAATAATGCTCATTAGACAGGCTCAAGGATAGGAATGGAGAGACATATTGATATGACGATAATAATTGAGTATTGTATTTTTATTTATTACCACCACGATATTTGTTTGCTCCACCACATGTAGGTGTGGACACGTGAAAATTGAATGGAATGGGTCATATTTTCATTAGGCATGCTTGTTTTTTGGTGAATATCAAGAAAAGTCGATACTTGATAAATTGGATTTGAAGTTCGACTGAGTTACAATCTACGGACTAGTTGAGCACCGACTCTTATTCCACTTTTATAACTTCTTATCAATTTAAGTGATATTGAATCTAGAACATGTTGAAAAATGGTTTAACGGACTACTTTTGACATAATTTTGAGTGGGACCCGTTCGTTCATTTTGAAATGTCAAAGTTGACTCATGTTCTCATCCATGAGAATATTGAAATCATTTATTTACTTGTCGAAAATGATGCTCAAGTGAATGAGAAATTGAAACTCGAAGTTGATGCATTGGAAGATGGTTTGTGTTGGAGGGAAAACTATGTGTAGTTTATCCCATATAGAAAAATGTAAAATAAAAATTGAACATTTTATAAATAATTACACTTTGAAATGGAGTGATCATACGTAGGGTATAGACTATTTTCACATACGCGCACAGGGAGTGCAAATCAATGATCAAATCAGAATTTCGGACCTTGAACTTATGTGTCAGTGCGACCTACGCATATAATTGTCGGACCGAGTGGATCAATATTGGCTCATTAGGTGAGTCCACATTTTGCCTATATTTTCTATAAATTATTTAATTTTTTTCTTCCAAATCAACTCTCCAATTTTAAAAACTGAAATGTAATGGTGAGTTAATGTAATGTTCATTGTATAACGCACATAACTGTTGGTTGTAAAGTCACTCGTGTTCGAGCCTATGTATAAGGCTCGATTTTCTTATTGTCAAATGTCCACGAACTCCTTCTCTTCTCTGCATAACATTTACAATATTCTGTTTGTAAATATTTTCACTTACAGTCAAAGCTTTGGTGATCACATTCATATACAACTTAGTTCGTCCGAGTAGCACCTGTAGTGCTTAGACTCTACTAGTTTTTTTTTGTAGCATCTTGGGAAACAAATGTTTAAACTAAACCTCAAACACCTACAATGAGGGGACAAATTTGTTTTAAGGACATTGTGTAATACACAGATCTTAGTTTGCGAAATTCCGTTCTTTTTTAACGATTACATATTTACGCAATATTATTTCGTGTTCGATTTCTTTCTAAAATAATAACCATTGTTATGTTATGATATAGTACTAGTTCTATTTTTAAATTATATCATTCTGCAAATCATTTCAAATAATCGAAATCGATTGATTTGATCAAACCTCTTTCTTCATGTTTTACCCTGAAGATCGAATTATGTATTTATATTAATTTGATCTACCTTCTGCAATGGAGAGATATTGAGCCCTTGCACCAAATCCCCATTTTGCACCGCATATTTGGTTTAATCTCACTCCCAACTCAACACCAAATTTCGCACCAAAATGGTTAATGTCCTCTTTGCCCTTCTTTTCCATTTTGCACCAACTTTTGTTAAGGGTGTTTTTGTCGCTTTCTTGTTATACAACCAATTTTAATTTTTAATTATTATTATTATTTAATATTTTCTAGCTGTGATTTTTCTATTAATTGTTCTACATTCATTAAATTTATTAATGAATTCAATATTTTCGTTAACAAAACGTAATTATTTATTTAATAATTTATGTATTAGTAAATTAAATAAACAAATAATTTTCGTATAAATAAATTATTAAGAATGAAAAAAAAATGAAGAAAATAATTATATACTGCTCATTTGGTGTAATGAGTTGGAGATAATTTTCAATTTGGTGCAAAATTTAGTGTAAAATAGTGCAAAACTTAACTCAAATTTTGGTAAAGGGTTGAAAATGGCTTTACGTACCGTATACTCTTAATTTTTTTTTTAATTTTGACGAAAAAAATTGAAGTAATTTATGACATAAATAAAAAATCCATCGGTCCATTGTAGATGTTTATGAAAGAGGTTATGATAAAAACGCGTTGCGTGTATCTATTGATAAATGAGAATATCTAAATAATTACGATGAAAAACAAATCAAATGCTCTGAAATTAATGGATCGAAGTGCATTAAAAATCAAATAGCAATGCCAAGATCAAGAAGGAAATGGTAATTTAGGAAGCTAAGAATTCTACATGGAACTCACTTTCTTTATTACAGTAATGAAGTTTAAAAATTGATAATGTTTACTTCCTTATTTATTATAGTTCGTTTTCTTTTGCCTACGAATTTATGTCCAAATTTATCTATTCACGTGATTAGGGGAAAAAAAATTATGTAAAAAAAAAATTTCTTGTGTAATTTTTTTTTAATGTATTGGTTCGGTCTGTAATTCGGTCCTGAATCAGTCCCTGCACATGATACTACAAAACAAATTTTAATATTGTGCATTAGATTTTGTCAGCTAGAAAATGATGGAAAAATGTATAATACACATTTCATTTGAACTTTCCATCTTTCACAATCATAACATGCTACAACTTGTGAAAAATAAATAAATTAATTTTATTCAAAATATATTTAAAATTCTCGATAAGACCATCTCCAACCATTATCTCCAAATTAGTGCAATTTTCATGATATTTTACAAAGTCATCTCCGACCATTATACCAAGCGAACAATATTTCTTTTTATTTTCTTATTTTTAAGTTCTCAACAATTAATTTATTTTGGAAATTATTTAATTAAACATTAACTACTACTAAAATTATCAAATTAAATTTTTTATTTAATTAACTTAAATATTGTATTTATTAATAAATTTAAAAAAAATTACTCTTAATACCACAAGTAAAAATATAATAAAGTTAAAAATAATCAAATGTAATTTAAAAATAATAATCAAATTAAATTAAATCATTATTTTATAAAATGATATAATAAGAATTAAGAGCCTGGTTGGGCCTGATTTTAATCTGATTTTAATCTAAATCAAAGTCAAAACAATTAATATCAACCACATTTTGATGGGTTTCACATCTTTTCAACCACGAATTTCAAAAACTTATATCACAATCCACTTAAAATCTGATTTTAATTTACACCAAACACCCTCTAAACTTTGACTTAAGGACAAAATAGAAATTATGAAAAACTCTAAAAATTGTATCGCACCAAATTGGTATAAAAATCTGGTGTATTTTTTATGAATTTTTGCACCAAATTGACATTTTTACACCAATTTGGTGTATGATTTTGGAAATTGAGCTTATATTATTTTGCCATTGGGTTGTTTTTTAGGCTTGAAGAAAAGGGTATTATAGTAAATGCACAAAGGCAACTTGTTTTCAAGGAAATAGCATAAACTCTCCATAACGTATATCAATGGCCAAAAATTATTCGACGATTTAAAATGCTTTTCGTTGGGCTCTTTTTCTCCCCTCCTTTTCACGCAACCAGCATGATTTTTCGACAGAAATACGGAAATTGTACCACAGAGTACCATCATTTGTAGCTATTGTATTTTTGAAATATTCCAAATATTTCATTTTTACTTTGAGCTTTTCTTTTTATTGCAATTTTGATCTCGTTTTCTTAGATAATTTTCTTTACTTGCAGCATTATAGAAAAATGAAAACAAGATTTGTTTTGTACCATATTGAAGAGATTTTTTTAACTCGAATCAATTCTTTTAACTGCAAAAATCCTACCAGAGCATTGACCAGCAACGTAAGAAATCTAAGTTTCGGTTTACTGTAGATTAAAATCAATTTTTTAGTAAATTTTGATGAAAATTGATAAAATGTATAGTTAAAAGGCTGCAGATCCCATAAAATATTCTATTAAAAATAATTATTGATTTTGACTTAAAATCTTAATCAACTTTTAATCCGCGCCAAATAGGGACTTAATTGAACCAAACAAAAAATGGCATTAAATATTTTGAATCTACTTATGAATATTCCACTTTGGAAAGTTATATGGATGGGTTTGAGTAAAAGGGGCAAACATGATGATGAACCATCACACATTTTGTATAGTTATGATTATTTGATACATAGCATGTCTTGTGGCACAATGAGTTATGGGATCCCATTTAGTAATTAAAATGATTATGAATCCACTAGTGTAGCTTTCTAATTTTGTGTGATTGCATCGTACAAGTTCTAATCTGCAGTATAAAATTAGAGCATGTTTGATTCTCATTAATTGAGAAAAAAAAAAAAATGAGTTTCAAATAGTATTTTTCAGAGAACGTGCGTTCAAAAATTATGGAAAGTTTTTGGTATATATTTAGAATATTTGTGGATGACGGAATTGATTCCAATTAATTATATTACTTAAGTCATGCTAATTCTTTGAAGTACGATGAATCAAGTCAAATTGAAGAACTTACTCCGTAGATTTCGATATGAAGATTAGTTTCGAGGCTCTCTAACTTGTCACTTGATTTTATATAAAAATTGAGTTGAGATGGGTAATCATTTCTCGTGCGTGGGAAAGAGAGAAGGCTTTGGTGGAAAATGCATTATGTACCATAAGTCATAATTATGAAAATCCTCATCATGATAGAATCCTTCTTTTACATAAACCTTTGTTTAGCCCAGTTTGAATCACATTAAAATTTTCATTTTCGTTCTTCTACTCATTTTCAATCACACATTTTTTTA